ATCCCAGTGCTGCAAACCAAGCAGCAGGGCTGCTGTTAATAATTCTCCTATGTGTGTTATGCATATGCAGCTTTGACAATCAAACCTGCCACAAGCACAGTGTTGCTAAATCAGAGGTGATAATCGTTTTATAGCACAGTGCAATTTACATAATGTGCCGGGAACTTTTTTTTTCCTGGAGAAAGTGAAAATGTTAGAGCAGTTGCTATGGAACAGAAAGCATCCTTGCGCCTCATTAAAGCGGAGGGTTCAGGAAGGTTGAGTCATTTTCTCACTTCTTGGTGAAAACAATAGCCTTGTATTGAAGGCTGACAAGTGCATTAGCAAGGCCCAAGAAGCCTAAATTGATCCAATAATGACTGCAGCTCATTGATATTTATTAAGCATCGGCAGCGGCTGATGCACCACAACATAGTCCCAGCAAACACGCCCGCATACAGAGCCCCCCGTCTCTCTCCATACATCTCTGTCCTTCTCCCTTTCCCCAGCTGTCCTGTCCGCCTCCCTCGCTTGGTCTTTGTGTCACTTTCTATCAGTCTATCCCTCCCCTTTTTCACCTCAATATCCATCCATCTTTTCTCTCTCAAGGCCTCGGCATCCGCCATTCATCACAGGAGCACTGTGTCTGTGTGTGTGTGTCAATACTACATCACTGATAGACATGCCTGCACAGGAGTGTGTGTGTGTGTGTGTGTGTGTTTGTGTATACGCAGTGTAAGACTGTGTGTATTTATAGTGCTGTTAAAACTGTCAGAGGCGATTGTGCTGTGCCCTTTCTACACCAGCATCACGTTCTCCCTCCCTTAAATTCTCTCTCTCTCCTCCTCTTCATTCTATCTCTGCACTACCAGCACACGTCTACCTACCTCCCTCTCTCTCTCTCTCTCTCTCTCTCTCGCTCTCTCTCTCTGAGGGAATGACAGGGACACAGAGGCTCTTGGGCTGTTTACAGCTTTGACCTGCTGTACCTCTATAAAGAGACAAAGAATGATGAAGGAGAGAGAGGGAGAGAGAGAGATAGAGAGAGAGGGGGAGATTTAAAGAGTGAAAAATAAAAAGAGAGAAGCAAAACGTGAAAGAGAGAGGGATTGAGACATGGAGGGAAAGAGAAAGAAAAAAGGAGAGAGAGAGAGAGAGAGAGAGAGTGACAGAAAGTGAAAAAAGAAAAAGAAAAAAAGAAGAGGGAGAGATTTAAAGAGTGAGATAAAGGGAAAAAAGAGAAGGGGAAGGGTAAGAGAGGGAATGAGACTGAGGGAAAGAGAAAAAGAGAAAAAGTGACAAAATTGGAGATACAAGGTTTTCTTCTGACAGCAGCAATATATATACACATATTATATATATATATATATATATATATATATATATATATATATATATATATATATATATATATATATATATATGGATGGAAAAAGACATGAGACGAAAGAAAAGGAATGAGAAGAAATAAGAAAGAGATAGGAAGAGAACGAAAGAATGAAAGGAAAAACGAAAGCAGGAAAGGAAGCGCGAGAGAGAGAAAAGTGGAGGGAACTAAGTGAGACAAAGGGAAAGAGAAAGAGAGAGAAGGGGAAACATAAGAAAAAAAAGAGAAGGAATGAGAAATGGAGGGAAAGGGAAAAAGAAAAAGAGAGGGTGTCTGAGAAAGGGAGGAAAAGAGAAAAGGAAAGAGAGAAAGAGAAAGAAAACAGGAAAGAAAGTAAAAGGGGAATAGAAAAGAAAAATTGAGAATAAGTAAGGGAGAGAGAGCAGGAGTACGGGAGGAAAAAAAGAAAGAAAAAAAGACAAGAAAAGAGAGAGAGAGAGATGCACACCACACAGGTAGTAGCTCCACAAGACCTCAAAGGCTTTTAAATTGTGTCTGAATTTGGCTTAATGAACTGTATTTTGTATTGTCTTGTTGGAACGTCTGTCATCTGTTGTGATTCTCCTCCTTTTAGTAAACAGACAGATAAACACATCAAAAGCAGCTCCTTCACATCAGTGTATGACACACGTGCATGCAAGCAGTTCTGTTTGACTGCTAGTGTATTTACCCTCATGGTGGACTGTTACTGATTCACTGGCAACGAGAAACACTTTAAACTCTCCTACTGGTCTCTCCCACACTCCTAATAAACCTGATGAGCACACATTTATACACACCTTCTTAATTGTCGAAATAATTAGTCGATTACTCGATTAGTAATATAACCGACAGCGACAGGCCTACAGAAGATTAATGTGCGGCTAATGTTTTTGAGTGCATTTCCTTTCAGTCCTGTTAAACAGAGCAAAACGGCTATTCGAATTTAAAGTAAGGTTTTTACTGAAAAAGCTGGAACTCAATTACAAAACTCAGAATGCATTTCAAGAGAAACAAAAGGAGAAGACTATAAGCCATCACACCTGCTCACTCTCTCATGTGCGCACGTACACATTCCTTATTAACCAGATGCCAAAAGTATTCTCATTTTCCTGTGAGCTCTGTACAGAAGCTGGTATTCGTTGCTCCTCTTATTAGTCAGTAAGACTTTGAAAGTAAATGTCGTGTATTTCCGAGCTTTCTCTCTGGACAGAGATAGTGAAGCATCTCCCTCAATTACAGGCTGGTTTTCCAGGCAAATGTTAAGCCAGATTTTCAATGCAGAACCCATTACTGACCATGTAATTCAACTCAACACTAAACTTACCTTTGTCAGAAGAAAAAGGGTCTTGAAAGTTGTATTATGGCTGATGTATTTGACTTTTTTTAAAAAAACGACTTTGGAAAAACCCAATGGTTAACTGTCTTTTTAAATAGTAGTTCAAGAAAATGTCAAATACACAATTTCTCCCTCACAACAAATGTAGTTAATCAGCAAAGACATCTTTGGTGTCTGAAATATCCTTTGTTAGTTTTGCACTTGAGCTGAGGCTAACATAGCTAACATGTAATGGAAGCTAATACCCCACTAGGGATCTAAATGATTAACCTCTTAAAATCCCAGGCTTATTACATACTAAGGCTTATTATTCAGTAACTACAGGGACTTCAATGCAAACTGGCTGAGCTATTCTTAGGTCAAGAAGTGTGTAATGAAACTTTGGGCCTGCTGGTGAACCCTGGCCAGGGGTTAAACGATTAACCATTAACAGACAAAGAAACAAGTGTTTGGCCAATGCTGACTATTAAAAACATTATTATTATTTAATTTCCAATTAACAACAGTTCCTATTTGAATAGGTGGAAATATCATTCACGCAGAGGAACATTTTTTAAAGTTCTTATAAAAACTGACACAACTGAGGGAATCTTTTCCACTTGCAGCTTAACCAGCAACATGATTAGCTCATTTTATTGCAAGGCAGGACTTTCCCTGTAAACAGAGCACATGTCAAAACATTACGGGGGTTGTTTCCTCCTTTGTAACGTCTCTGACTGTAGTCACGAGGGGGTAACAGGCAACAGACCTACTAAAAACAGTGGTGACCGGACCACTTTTCATATTATGTAACAACTATATTAGGAAGCACAGACAACTATTTCATCCACGTTATCCAGAAAGTGAGATGGGTAGTGTGAAGAAATCACACATGGGTGTGCATAATTAAAGAGGACATTGTGGAGGGTGATGGCTTTTTAGGAGGTAGCTAGCCCCCCGTTCATGGCACTTATTTGTGTGTTAACTTGGGCTAATAATGAGTGGTAAATATAACTTTAGAACACAGAACTTTTAGTAGCTCATCACTGCATATTCCAGTCATTTAATCAAATTTATTATTTTTGGTCACACAATCATGGCTGACAGCTATAATACAGTTCTTGTGTTTAATTTGGTTTCGAGCTGTTTACGTCGCAGTTATGTTCGACCCCACCTATCAGTACTCTGTTCCATAGTCCAAACAAGGAGCACTTTTGCAATAATCGCTCGCAAGTATGTATTTAACAATGGCTTTGAGCAGAGATCAGCCATTCAAATTTAATCGATAACTTAAAGATTTGCATCCTTTTGCTGGTTAGAGATCAATCAACCGTCCATTATCAGTCAAAATTTACCTCCCTTAACCCCACAAGTTCACATGGTGTAAATCACATGTCTAAATCATCACAGGCTTGTCTCAGCCTCAGCCTGAGTTGTTCAGTTATCTCAAAAAGACTTGGTTATGTGGTGTCTGATACTGTTATCTATAAAAATGGACATCATGTGTAGTTAGATTTGTGTAAAATTTGTCACTGTTTTCAATCACATTTCAAACTGGAAACATGTTATGTAGTGAATCTTTCCAACCTAAACTCATTAATTTGAATGTAATAGTTGCCAATGTTCCTTAAAGCTTGTTCAACAATGCAATAATAAACTATTCCTTTCACTGAACTTGGTATGATAAATATTCAGTATGCATTATGTGCATCTATTAAATCAAATGCTAACCAAACCAGCAAGATTCAACCTGATAGATGACCTAGTAAATAACTGGTGTGAGACACTGGCCATGTGTGCAGACCAGCATAAAAACACTGTTTGGTTCAGTAGTGTTTCTCACAGCCTTAAAACTATGTTGCCTAACAAGAAATGAGCAAGGAAGGAAGCTCACAGTCCAACTATAAAGTGCTCTCCATGCATTCGCTCGTGCTTGTCAAAAACCGACTAACAAGAAGTGATGTTTCCCAAGATGCGAACAAGTGCGTCGTTATTTCACTGTCGCTCCACGAAAGAGGAGAGAGGTCATTTATGTTCCCCACTTTGAGGGGACAGTTTGCATTTTTACTGTGATTCATCGTTTTCTTCCTTTCGTTTTTGAAATAGCCAGAAATAACTGCTTTACCTTTATCCACAGACAGAAAGCCTTCTGTACACTAACTGTCAGCTAGACTTTTATGTTCACAAAGCTGATTTCTTTTATTCCAGAAAACGCTTCAAAACTCTTTCAACCAGCAACTAAGACCAAATATAAAGAGACAAAACAGAAAGGGCAGAAAATGTGGGTAAACACTGCACTGCAACAGTCCAGGAACAAATAACATGAGCACAGCCAGGTTTATTTGTAGAATCTTTTTCTTTTTTTTGGAGTTTTTGTTTTCATACAGAAAGCCTGGGTTTAAATACACAAGTGCTACAAGGAGGAGAAATTCTCAAATAAACATTAAAAGAAATAAACCCTTATATTTACACACTCCCCTGCTTTAAACCCTCTTCCGTCAATCCATCCTATCATGTGCTCTCTGAAAGAGACAAACAGGGAGTCAGTTTGCTTCTATGTTCTGGAATCGTTCAATCAGGTGGTCATAGGTCATAGACTAGCGCAAAGAGTCCTGTAGAAGAGTCATTTTCTCCAGGGTCATCCTCGACTTGTGCGAAGTCAAGTGGGGGGAAAAACGTTATCAAAAAGAGACAGGACCTACTGGAACATCTGAAGAAAATGCTGATGGTCATCATAAGGAGACAAGCTTGCTATTTAAAAGCTCTGCAGTCCTCCACCAATAATTAATGTTGTTTTTTGCTCAAGTCCTTTCATCTGGAATTGACAGAAATTCTTTCATCTGCCACCGAGAAAGGGATACGAAAGACACACACAGTGAAGGACAGTCCATCGCAGGGGGACAGTGGGTAAAAGGTCAGAGTCCATAGATAAAGAAGACCATGGTCAATACAGCGTGCATCCTGTATTTGTGTATTTTATATATATATATATATATATATATATATATATATATATATATATATATATATATATATATATATATAAACAAACAGTTGCATCAAACAGCATCAATCCATCTCTTTTCTCGCTCATTTGTCTGTCCATTCATCCAACCCCCAGACCACTGTCACCAGGAACTTTGCAGAAATCTATCTTATCCTGGCTTTGCTGGGCAAGTGTGGCAAGGTACTGAGGAGGGGACAACCCCCACCCAGCTACAGCTTTCACATTGCCACCGTGGACGAGCTCTTTGCTGGGGGTAAGAGCCAAAAGGTTCCTCCTGGCTCTCTTTTGGGGTCTTTGGGGATTCGGGTTGTCAAGGAGAGGGTTGGCTGGTATATGGACGAAGAGGGACACTACAGGACACTTACTTCAGAGTCAAGGGTTGGCTAGGTTCCCTACTTGGGAGTATATTTAGAGGTTAAGGTTAAATTTAAGAATGTCACCTCCGTGTGGGCAGTCCAGTGGGGGTTGGTTAGGAAAGCTAAGGGGAGGTGGGCACTATGACTGTTTGAGACGTTTGCGGGGTGGACCCAAGAAGGGGCACTGAGCAGAGGCCAGCGAGCGATATGCCTCGGCCACCAGGTGAGGGTGAGACGCCACCATAGATTTCCATCCTGATGTCTCCATCACATCCGACGCATGGCTGAGAGAGAGAGAGAGAGAGAGAGAGAGAGAGAGAGAGAGAGAGAGAGACAGATATTTCAATTATACTACAATGTTACATTACAACTGTGTTCAATGACATAAAAATAATCTATGTTTAACCAATCAAGTAATACCAGTTACAAATTTAGAAGTTCATAAAGACATTTCTTTTTGCCTATTTTCATTTCTTAGTAAGGGTTTCCCAACAGTTACACATCCTTTCAGACTCAAAGCACTGAGTGGATGGACAGAAACACGTAGTTTTAGATCTGAAGCAAAAGTGGAGCAGTTCTTTATATATTTTAATATATATATATACTTGTACAATGCAGATTTAAACATTATAAACTAGACGCCAAAATATATTTTAAGATGTTTTATTCAATATTTCAAGTACTTGATGAACAGGAAGTTATTCAGGGATAATAGAGTATTGTGCCAAAGTCAGAGACCACTTTGTTTAATTTTCAGTCAAAACAGCCATTAAATGCAGGTTATTCATTAAATATTAAATGAAACGCCTAAAAATACCTTTTGCTGTCTAGTTTATAATACAGAAATTTACCCTGTATAAGTTTGTTATTGTATATGAAATAATAAATATTGCTAATATGGAAGTGATTCCAAACTTTTGAATAGTACTCTACCTAATCTTCCAATGTTCTTATCGCTCCCTCTGCCTGCCAGCCTGAGGGGTCTACACTGCACTATCACATACACCAACCAATGGCCTTTAATGACATTTACCCTCTGTCTGAGTGAGTGTGTGTGTGTGTGTGTGTGTCCTCCAGCTCACCTCGCCACACTGCTGCCCCCAAACTCTTGACATTAATTGGAGTATGAGATCAGGGCTGGCAGGCTGCTAGCCCCTGCCCTCTTGTATGAGAAACAGCTAATGCTATGCCGAAGATACTAAAGGTCAATGCATGGTCACTGCGCTGACCAGTTAAAACATACTCCCTTGTTTTTATTTTCAAAATGTTTTTAATTTTCTAAACATCTCAAAGGCATGCTATGGTAAGGTATGCTATAGTAGCAAAAACGGAGCAAGCGGCTCAGTTTATAACTGTGCTGTGTTTACCAACACATGCTGGCAAAGTTGTGGCTATTTCGTAGTTGTTGTTTTGTCAGCTTATTGCCATGCTTTGTGCTACATCTGGGCAGGATCCTGTAGAAGGCTGTAAGCAGCATGGCTCAGCTCAGCATGCTCCAGTCTAACCCTCCAGCAGTCCCTCAGCAGATCAATAGCTCCACTATTACTCTGCATGGAGCCCCACACTGCTCCGGAGAGAGGGAGCCGCTCGTAAACAAACAAAAGGAGAAACAGTGAATGTGAATATAAAGGTGAATGCCAATCGTTTTAGAAGATGGGGCCAGTTTGGTGGCAAAAAGGAAAAGTGGCTTGTGTTGGGTGGATGCATGTGCTTGCTTTTTGTCTGGAAGTGTGTGTTTCTAAGCGGACAGAACTTGCTGTGGAACACGTGGTGTGTGTGCACATGTGCGAGTGAGCCTGTGCGTATTTTCTGCCATTGTGGTTTATTGATTTCTCGGTGTGGCTTGTGTTGTTATTGTTGTGGTTGTTGAGCAGAGAGTGGGCAAACAGGAGTGGTAAAACAAGAGAAAGACAGAGAGAGAGAGAGCAATACAGTGCCACACACAAAATGAACTCAAAATTCTACTGCTCAATAAAGCCTGTGGAGCACTGGGCAGGTGCACAAAACTAGCCTAATTTAATTCCTTAAACTTGTTATTCCATTATTAACCTATAGTGTGTCATGTTTTAAAGACTGGGGTGCATCATTTGGACTAGGACGGACCAACATATAATTTTTGTTACTGTGATAAATTGTGTCCCATTATATCATAAAAAGAATATGCCTGTCATGGATACCGTCAGAACACTGCACGTTTCATTACAAAGAGAGCAACATTGAGTCTGCTTAGTTTGATTTAGCACAGCACAGCATGTGAAATGCTACAAAAAAAAAGAAATAAAAATGGCACAACTGGGGCTTTTTTGTTTATATGATTTTTTTGTCATATTGCCCATTCCTAATCTGGGCTAGCAAAATTTACTTTTTTTAGACTGTATAAATAGCTTGCTTCATCAAAACACCTACACAAACTCTCATCTGGAACTGCAACTGGTCAGGACGCTCATAGCCACAGTAACAAACCTAATGACTGGTTACTGAGATTATTTGCATCTCAAAGCCTTATGTGACATCAGTAAAGCAAAGAACAATATTGTGATACTGTTAAACAAATGATACATTTTGAAGCTCTAGGATCTCCTATAATAAATTCAGTAGTTATAAGAGTGAGGAAGTGTGCGCTCTCAAGTCGACCCACAAGGTTTAAGGGCTAACGTATTGAGAGAAGGCTAGAGAGAAAAGGCAAGGAGAGGAAAAAAAGGCCTAACAGGTGCTTACTTGAACAGAACAGGCCTGTAATGCTTTAAATGGGTGGAAAGTTCATGCAGTGCATAACAATATAGTCGGTGAAGAAGAAGTTACCACGCACTGATGGAAATATGCATTACAACGATGTGGCTGGCAGTTAATCACATCATTTTAAAAATAACAGCGAAGCGTCTGGACAACTTAAGGACGTCTGTAAGCCTTCAGTTTCTGTTATCATGCCAGATTGCCTATTAGGGATGCAACACATTGACTACAACTGACTACCTTGACTATACTGACTACAATTGATTTAAATAATATTCAATGAAGTGCCGTATTGCTTCCTGAACAACTGTAATCTTATCAAATCATTGCAAGCAGTGGTATAGCCAGCCCTAAGAGTAAGTACACTTTAAATCTGCTCCAGACTAGCAAACAAGGTCAATAAACAAACTTCCCTTTTTCTTCTATCTATTTTAGGATAGACACAAAGAGAAGGGAAAAAATGTGCTTGTGTGTGTGTGTGTATATATATATATATATATATATATATATATATATATATATATATATATATATACACACACACACATACACACACACACACACACATCATTCATAATATTTTGGTCTTATTTTGAAGTGTGTCTTTTACCATATTACTACTAGTCTACTTAGCTGCTGAAATGCTCTTAGTTTCACATTGCTGACGTTAGAAAACCTTACCAAGGGTTAGTTAACGTATCATGTTGCTATGCTAGACTAGCACTATTACTTATCAGAACCAACATTCATATTTGCTTCAATTTGTTTTTTTTTTATTCACCTTAAATGATATTGGCACGTCCGAGACTGACTGCAGAGACTCCAACATGGTGGAATCCCATGGTGGTATCCATACAAATTGACAAAAATTAACCACTCTCTGTTTATTAATCATGGAACTGACCAGTCACATTGTGTTCTGTTAAACTTTGCTTCTCCTTGACTTGAGAGGTCTTGGACAGAAGACAATAAATGGGTTTATGCAAAAACACATCTTTAGAAGTAAGTGAAATAGTGTAGTAAAACAGCCCAGTAAAAAATATCAGTATGTGGTGTATACATGTGTATAAGGCCAACTACAGCACTGTGAGGTCAGATATTTACACCCCTATTACCTACCTACCAACACTGAGCAGGGAAAATGGTTAAAAAAGCTGCCTCCCTTTAGAATAATGTCCATTTACTCTAAAGCTAAACCATATTTGTGTATGAGTTTATGTGCAGCATAACCAACAAGAAAGAAATCTTGTAAAGGGGCATCTTGTCTCACTATTGGCTCTGTACATTTTTACGTATATCGTTGTTATCCAATGACAAAACACAAGATCAACTGACCCTGAAAGGTTTTGGGGGAACAAATTCCAGGAATGCAGTGAAATTTCTGAATTAGTTAGAGAACAGCTATTTAATGTGCTGAGACTAGGTTTGGCACAACAATTTGATCAGGAGAGAAAATAAGGAGGGACATCTTACCCTTGGGGCCTTCTTCCCTTGAGTTAGCCTAATATTAACATTATTAACTAGGCTTTATTGATCTCTCCATTGAAGGATGCATCAGAAGAGCGTATTCAGGTTAAAGTTTAGTCACTCACTAGTTGATGAAGTCGACGGCCTGTGTTTTGAGCTGGTCAGCGCTGTGCAGGTCGGCCAGAATAAGGATCTCCGCCGCATTCTCCACGGACAAGCTCGTACACAGTGCATCTTCACACATCACCTTCAGACGCTCCAGAGCGTACTGCACCAGAGAGAGAGAGAGAGAGAGAGAGAGAGAGAGAGAGAGAGAGAGAGAGAGAGAGAGAGAGAGAGAGAGAGAGAGGGGATTGTCAAACCATGCATAAATCATGATCAAAAGCTTCCATTACATCCACATTACTTTCTTCATTTTAAGAAGTTACCGTGTTGTTTTCTCTGTATTTACCATGTTTACTGTTTACAGCTATAATGTAACTTGTAAGACACAGAGAGAGAGACAAGAGACATTCAGAGAAACTTCAAACTAAAAGCATCCTTTTTCCTCCGAGACTCAGTATGTCCTTTAACTGCCATCAAAAACATGTAGGCACAGCCGGACACACCAAAGCAGAAAACAAAAACACCCACAAGACACAGAAAAAGTGTGAGGGGCTTCAGAGCGTTACACGACAAGAGAGTGCACCATCCTCACACGGGGGGGACGCATGCAGACAGAGGTCATATAAGAAATAAGCACATCCTACAGCAACGAAGAAATTTCAGAGTGGCACTGGATGGTCTTGGAGATATAAAGCCCGGTCCTAACACATACACGCTTGTTCTCTCTCAAATAAAGGAATATACAAAGCCACATAAGATACATTATGAGAAGTCCTATGAATAGCCCCCCATTATAAAGCAGGATAAGGCTGTAGACTGTCACAAAGCACAAGAGACTGAGAGGTGAGGGAGAGTGTAATTAGGAGATGGAATGAGTGAGCTGTTTTGACAATGAAGAGAAAACCTTGAGCAAAACAAGTAGGAGTCCAAAAGAGATGTTTAATGAGCGCAGCTTAAAATACTCCTTATCCTTTATATGAAAAAGGGGGAATATGATGTAAGTGTGCATGTTAGGGGCCAACTAATATGAACATTTAATGATGAATGCAGATTATGGCATAATATGAAAATGTTATGGAGGACTGATTTTAATGTGTTAAAACTTCTGTCAGCCGATAATATCTGTTGATATCATTTTATATTTTTATTTCAGATTAGTGATTTACTGACTGATATAGTTGTCAGTTCTCGATTGTTATTCTATGTGAACTCAGATAAACAGAAGAAACTTCATGTAACAAACTAAAAGTAAATATTGTAGCACGGAAGTGCACCTACACAGAATCCTTTGTGGTTTGGGTTTCACTTAATTACCTTCTATTTTACTAATCAGTTTTCTTTTTGTATTAAAACATGTTTTTCTCATGCTAAAGGTTAAGTTTGTATATATTTCATATTGTATATATATTTGTTATTTCAACCATGATTGTGTTTTGTTTTCACATTCAAAAGTTGCCATAATCAGCCTATATTGCTGTGATTTATCGAGACAAAAAAAGTGACTTATATTAGGGTTTTCTGGTGGCACAACCATTTAAGACCGGTCATCAGGAGATCGTGGGTCTGGATCCCAAAAGCCAATAATAGTTGCTAATTGTCAGCACATTAATGGTGATATTATTGCCGATACCAATAAAACTGTGGGTTGTCAATATTGTAATACAGATTTTAAGGAGCTAAGGAGACATAATATTATTAGGCAAAATAACATGGCCAAAATAGACTTGTATGTTTTTGTTGATTTTTGTAACCAATCATCAGTTATCATAATAGAACGTTTTTTGTTCTAACGTTTTTGTGATGCTAAAAGTTTGGTTTGGATGCATTTCAGATGTTTATTTTCACCACAATGTTTTGCGAAAACAAGCAACTACATATTGGTGATGTAATGGCAAAAGTACACAGACACTGTTAAATCCATGAGACCTCACAACTGGATGATGTTATAGATCAATGAAGATATTGTTAGTGTGTGTGTGTATGTGTGTTAGCGTATAGCTCACCTTGTCAGCAGCAGCGAGTAAATCGTCTGCCATCTTGTCCAGGTTGGGCGCTTTGCCAGTGTAGATGAAGCACATCATCTCCTTGAACACTTCTGGCTCCACATCATTAATCTCCACTCGATTCTGCACAGCACGACATGAACATGCGTTAATATCTTAATAGCACATTCAACAGGACAATACAGCTCACTTCTGCCTTCTAGAAACATCTTTACTGTCTTCCACTGATACTGTCAAAACGTATTACAGAGTAGTTTAAAATCCGCTTTACAGCATCCAACCCTGCACTCTCTCACACAGACACTCATAAACAAAAGAATGAAATGATTATTTTGTATCAAGTATATCAGTGTGGCAGTCGCTCAGACAGTATTAATTGCGATGAAGGTCTCAGACTCGTTAGGTTTAATACAAGACCTAAAAGTGAGCTTACTGACAGTTACTTAAAAGACTTTAATGCAATGTGATGAGGAAACCAGATGTCTGAATTAAAGCAAAATTTAAAAGAATGTGTTTCTTAGTTCAGTCAATGCAGTTTTACATTGTTCTATTACTGTTTTACATTGTTTTTAATCTGGATTAAGCACCCATCGAGCTTGCATTTTGTTGTAACACTATTCCAAAGTTTAGGAAATACATAAGAAAATGAAATTCTGTCTGAAATCAACTTTATCCTGAACAAATTCTGTATGAACTTGAATGCAGCCTGACAAAGTTCGGACTGGACCTGAACGTAATCCCAAAAAAATTCTGTCTGAAACTGACTCTAGCCCAACAAAATCCTGTCTGAACTCACGTGTATCCTCACAAAATGTGTCTGAACTTGAATGTAACCTGTCAAAATTCAGCTTAAATGCTTTTTAAACAACCATTTTAGTTTAAAAAAAAATTTGTCTGGGTGAATGCTACATAATGTGTTGGTCCCATGCTAGCCTTAAGGACTTTATTGGATGTCACTGCCAAAACACAAGTGACACCAGCATGCCAGATTAAACAAATGAAATGGAGGAAAAATAAATTAAATTAAAAGTGAGAGAAAATCAAACATGAAATATTAATCTGACCAGAGGGTGAATATGTGAATCTGGGAGAAAAAACATTCAACCACAATCTGAATTAACAAGAAAAGTCAGGTCCTGTCAGGTTTAGAGAAATATTCCAAGCTGTACCCTGTGCCTACAGTCAAACAGCTCTCTGAACAGCAAACACGCACCACTCAAGCCCAGTATCTTCTACACAGACACTCTCTGACCAGCCCAGCCCTGGATCTGCAACATGCTACCGTCACACACCAGCCAACACAGCGCTGTGCACCACGCAGGCCTTCTAAATGAAGAATGGAATACCAGAGTCCCAGCAATCACATCTACGCACACAGTATTCAAACCATTCATGCCTTTTCACAAATAAAATCTTTACTACACTGGAACACAAGGACGGAACCCTCCCTGAACACAAAAACTGAAATTGAAGCACAAAATGAAACTTAATGCCACAATCTGTGTTCATTCTCTTGCCTTTTTCTTAAGTTTTTTTTTTGCACGATTCGCTCACTGAGATGTAAACAAGTCTGATGTGAAATGGTGCACTGTGGATTAGGGTGGGCGATATGGCAAAAAATATATCACAATACTTCAAAACATTTTCATGATAAACGATGAGTCACACTTAGAGGTTGACGATATGGCAAAAATTTTATATTGCAGTATTTCAATAAATTTTCATGATACACAACGTTTTTTCACACTTCTGATCAGTTGTAACAGAGAAAAAGGAACCAGTAGTGCTACATTTAACTGTAAACACAATTGAGTTTTATTCATTATTTCACATACTGCGTTGTACTAAATCCAGTTAAACGGGGCTAATTTTTATCTATTCACAATAAAACATGCAGTTGGTAGCATTCTACAGGTACCGACACTATCCATATGTTTAGAAAAGCATGATGTATTGTATTGTGACATAATTTATTGTAATAATGATGTGTCATACTCCCCAGCCCTAACTGTAAAGAAATTTAGGTACTGATTTCTTTTCAGTGGTGATGGGAACCGGGGTCATGATGTCGTCAATTATAGCCATTTTATTTACAAAACAACCAATAAACCTACACACGTCTTCTGAGTTTTATATGTAATGTTGATAATGACAAAATAATGGTAATTCTGTATTGGGGAATATTTCGCCTTACAAATGTACTTAAGTGAGCCTTATTACCCCCACAAAGGGGAAATTTCACCTCCACATTTAACCCATCCATGCAGTGAAATACCACATACACACTAGTGAACACACACACTAGGGGCCAGTGAGCAGTGAGCTCAAGGGCACTTCAGTCACGAACTGTCGGCTCGAAGGGGGTTGAACCGGCGACCTTCCGGTCACAAGGCTGGTTCCCTAACCTCCAGCCCATGACCACCCCATGTAACATAGTTCGAAAATATATTATGGGCCAAAGGCTTCTAAACAATTATAAAACATCATCTCAGACACCAGGCAACACATTTGTAACCATTTTGTGCAGTAACTTTCTGTAAGGGAGTTTCTACAGGCATTGAGCTCTTTGGGTGTCCAGTTCCCATCACCACCACTGTGAACAATTATCAGGAATTCTCTAGAATTCTTTAGAATTCTCTATGAAGTTTCTCTAGAATGGCAGATATCACATCAAACCACCCTGAATGACACTGTTTACACCTTAACAATTACGGAGATACTCTGAAAAATCAGTGCAATTCCTCTTTAATCCTACGTTCTCTCTCTCTCAATCCCTCTCTCTAGCCTCGGGACACTGTACCGAGCGCTCTTTATCGCTTGCCGTTGCCGTAACAGCAACCTAACACCTTTCTCCCGCTCCGCCAGTGAACCAATTACAACTTGGCTTTATCGTATTCACAGAAACCCAAACAGCCTGACCCAGGTCACTCCTGCTAAAATGGCTGTTTGACGCATTTTAACGCACACACGCACACCTCTCTCTACAAAAACTGTGAATAAGCAAAATGGAAGAGTGAAAAAAACAAGTATATGAAACCCACAAATCTAAATCAAACTCACTCACTCACTAAACAATGACAAGGTCAAAGCATGGCTTTACTTGCACATTCATAAACAAAGCCATTTATCAACACCCACGACAAAGAGAGGCACATAGTTTAAGTGCATGGTTACACATATACCCCGCTCAGTCCTCAAACGTGGCCTTATGAGCCCATCCGTCTCTGCTATAGACCACTATCACCTCTTTCTTCACCTCTCTCCTTTTGTTCATCTCCACATTTCTCTCAATGATCAGGATGATCACTTATTTATTTATTTATATCACTTAAATATTTTCATTTATAATATACACTGATCTGCCACTTCATTAAGTAAGTATCCTTCTATACACACTCACTGTTCCTTTTATCAGCTCCATTTACCATATAGGTTCACTATGTAGTTCTGAAATTACAGACTGTAGCCACAGTGCTCCAAAGTGCTGAGTTATTTAAGCGCTGACATATTTAAGTATACACACACACACACACACACACACACACACACACACACACACACACACACACACACACAAACCTACGTATGTATTATATATAAAACATACATCATGCCCAGACACATATCTACTCTATCTCACCACATTTCCTCAAAAAATACACACCACTCAGCCTCAGCCTCTTTTACACTTATATAAAATCAGTCTCAGGCCACACACACACACACACACACACACACCTATGTATGTATTATATATAAAACATATATCATGCCCAGACACATTTTTACACTATCTCATCACATTTCCTCAAAAAATATACATTACTGAGCCTCAGCCTCTTATATATTTATATAAAATCAGTCTCAGACCTCAGACCACACACACACACACACACACACACACACACAGTGTCCTAACATTTGCATGATCCCTGCTAGAGCGGATAGGATGGAGCATCTCCTTTACAAAAAACAGGAAATGTCTTCAAACTGTTTCTCCAGAGCCAAGTCTAGAAATCCCAAACGCAAGCACATCTCGTCCCAAAAAAACAAGGCATGATGAAACTCTGGGAAAGAGGGATGTGGGGGGGAAGAAAAGACAGGAGAAAGACAGGGGAGAAGGAGGCGCAGTGAACCAGCAGGTGGTCAAAGGCAGGAAGTGATGAGAGGAGAGCAGAGAAAAAGGAGAATGGGAAAAAAACTTGTATCTGGAAGTGTGTCACTATAAGGAAAAGACTTTACGTTGGTACTACTGTTGTCAGCAAAGGCTGGGATATGACAACGATATGACAAGGAAGTGACTGACTAATCATGTTCAGAACAAAACAGCCCAAGTTCAACTGATTAAATATAGAGAAAGTGATGTAATACAAAATGCTTTCAAGCATGTCTTATTAAAGAATCAAGAAACCGTACGGTGTGTGGCAGACTGTGCCTGGAGACTAGGACTGTGAATCTCTGACCTTACAATGATTCACTTTTCATTATTTAGAAAATATTCAATGCATCATGAAATCTGAAAATATCACCATAGTTCAACTTACAACGATTCAACTTTAGTGTGGTACAGAATTATATTTAAGGAACATACTGAATTTTCAAATGAAAGGGAGAATTATTTGACAGTAGTGAAATACACATAACAAAATTCCTTAAAATTCCATTCAGTTTGTGTTTGAAAACAGCGTTTTTATTTGCCAAAACCCGAGTGCACATTTTACTGTATAGTATTGTAAATAATATTCAGTTACAACTGATTCAAACTGCTGCCTTTAAAATGATGCCTTTTTACACCAGTGCAGCACATGTTTATCAGAAATTTCCATTTTACTAACATTTTATATATATATATAATTATTTGCACAGTTTTTGGCAAATAAAAACGCTGTTAAACTGAATAGAATTTTAAGGAATACATATATAATCCAAAATATCGCAATATCATAATACTCTTTTTTTCCAATATCACAATTCTTTTTCACGACACACAATATGAATCAAGATTGCATTTCTCTAAGGCTGCACATAAGTTGGAACAGACAAAATGCCCCAGCAAATCAGTAGTGCAAAACTAACAGATTTTTACTTATGCTTCTGTAAAAACAAACAGAAATATCTCCTTAAATGGAGCAACATGAGGTAAACTCTAACAATTAATGAAAAATATATAAAAAAAAGAGATGATCTCATAATGGGGCGACATCCAATCAGCTACTTGTTACTATGCAGTGTGTGCAGTGTTGTTGTTTGGAGGCTCACTAATCAATCTAAATGTGTCTTTATGATACATGCAGTTGTTCAGTGCACTGATGATACCATGATGCACATAGAGTACGCAATGTGTGTCGTGACATAATTCAATATAATAATGATAACATGTCATACTGCCCACCCCTAATGCACAGCTCTAAAAATAATGTAGTATTTGTATCTGTCTCTCTTACATACAGACATTATTCGCTGGCATTTCTCTGCTGAAGAGTGTGGACTGCAGAGACATCCCCTAAAGAGAAATCAGGAATGCACTTCCACACTGCAAGAAGACTAATTGAGATATTAGAATAACACTTGATCTAAGAATATCAAGTAGCTTTCGAGTGTGTGCACATGCACACACACAAAACAGTTTGAGGGGGCTCTGTGTCTTTCACTGCTTCCAACAGCATGGGAGCTTTGTTGCTCCTTTTGAAGTTTAATGAGAGAATAAAAGCCTGACAAGGCAATGGAGAGTCAGAGAGAGGGAGAGAAATTGGGGGGGTGACTGACTCACCTTTTTGCTCTCCTCCATTTCATGCTCAAACATGGCACTGAAAACTGGCGAGCGAGCTGAAAGAGAGACAGAAAGAGAGAAAATCAGTTAATCTCACAGAAACATTTCTTATTATAACAATCATTCAGAATTTAGTTTATTCCAACATATAAACTTCTGAACTGAAAAGATCAAAGGTCTACAAAGTTCAGGCGCTTTTAGCATCGGTAATGTCTGCACGTCAATAAAATAAACACAATAAAAAATAAGGTCTAGATACATTACCCAAATGTTTTGCAAGTGTGCTATAAGTAGAATGAAGAAGATGAGAAGATGAGGACTTTGCATCAACCCAGAAAAACATTTAAAGCCTCTGTCTACACATCTTCAGGATTTTTTTTATTATCTATAGCCACTGTGATGTTTTTACTGCAAACTGGCAGAGAAAGAATGCAGTTGGTGTTCTCTGTTGAGACATTTTTAAAATGACTTTTTCTGCTGTTTTTCTTCAGTTTGAGTTGGGCGGTGCTAAATTTGGCACACCAGATCTGCCAAAGCACCAATCAGAGTCAGCAGTAAGTATACGTCAGCTACTCACATTCCTCTCCCTCATACAGTGACTGCTCTTCGCAGTCCCAGACAAAACTCACAGCAGGTAAATTGTTTAAGCTTTTCTAATTTTGTTAACAGCATTTGTTATGAAGGGGTATTACAGTGGTTTTTGTAGCATAGTCAAGCGCTGCTTGAGACAAATGTATGGGACAAATGACTTTCAAAATTAGGTTGCTTACTTATACAGGTTTTTGTACAAATTTCTTGTTCCACCTAAAATGCAAGCACCTGTACAGGTGTCAGAATGTAAATGCTACTCTATTTGACATGGGACAGAAAAATTTAACAAAAAGCTGCCAAATAGAAGCCAAATTCAGCTTTGGAGAAATTCTAACGTGACTCACCATTAACCGTTTTTGCCAGAAAGCACTACTGACAGAGATTTATCTATACATTGCTCAGTTTCGTTTTTACTATTTTGCACAATAAAATATTTTAGGTTTACTTTGGTGGTTAAAAATGGTTCTCAGAATAATAAACCACTGTCAGTCTACAAAAACAGGTTTACTTCAGCATCTAAAATGGTTCTAATGAAACAAGTGTGGAGCAAAGATAACTTCAGTGAATATCAGTCAGGACTGTTGTACAGATAGCAGTACCCAAATTTTAGGATTACTGAATATGATTTGAATGTGACATGTTTTCCAGTTAGGTCTTTACCAACAAGGTAACTAGCTCTTTTAATTGAATGGCAGAACCTCCCCTTTTGGTGCTGTGCCTTTAAGACTGATACATGTAAATAAGTTATATTCTGACTGGCTGCTCTGTATTGTGCTTCATTCAAAAAGCACTCAGAGCTGAAACACTGCTTGGAACTTCAATGTGCTGTAGGCTGAATAGATCTATGTATGTTAAGCAGTTGGTTCTCGTGACATCACAGAAACAATGGATCCAGGTGGTTTTGGCGGCTTAGTTTCTGTAAATGGACTGTATGGCCTTGGCAGTGAATGGTACGTCATGCACTTGTCAACCTTTGATGTAACACGGTTAATTATTAGTGCATTATTTTAACTGAAAGTTATTTACATTTGTTAGATGATCTTAATTTAGAGTGATTTCCTTGATTCATCCCAAGACCCACAGAAACTCATCTGGATCATCTAACCAGTGAACTGTCTGCTCCTCTGATAATGTCAGAGGAGACAAAATGCATACAAAACATCAGCCCATATGTTACAACATGTCAGAACGAGAGCACTATACCTAAGAGGAGTTCGCTTCAAGGATACAGCTTCAGATCTACATGGCTTACTCTGACAGTTTCAGAATGCCAGGTGAAGTCTGGCACATTCTCTGACTGCAAAGACTTCACTAATCACACCAGTCACTCTCAGCCAATCAGCTTGCACCGTTTGCCCGTCTCCTCGGCAATTAACGAGCCACAGGCTGATACGGCGAGATAACGAGGAACCCCGCCTCAGCTGGGACAGAAGTCGAGCGCGTGACAGACTGAGAGACAGAGGGAGGGATGGAGAGAGGATGGAGGGAGGTAAGGAGAATGAGCTGGAGTGATTTCTTCTAAATGAGCTAGTATTATAAGACATGGTCCTGTACTCCACTGCACAGCTGAGAGTGAAGACTAAATACCCTTTTCAACCTGATCTTTGTTGCTGTGTCTGTGGTACATAATCGATTACAACAGCAATTTCCCTGCACATCGAAACCAACAGAAAACACTTTAAGCAAGTGTTTCAGCAGCTTCTCATCAACCTCGCGAGCCAAACTTCTGTTTATCGGCGGAAAGTCTGCTACTTTTCACTGCAGAATGTGGCCAAGAAGCACCTACCTTGTCACAATGAGGCTGTTTGAATGACATATCAACTGACCAATCACAGCCGGCTGCTTTGGTGCAGCATGTAGGGAAAGGCAAATGTGAAAATCCCATAGATGTCTTGCTCTGAAAGGCTCATTTTTGTCACAATGGTCAGTGCAGTCAGCTGTGTGCTACTGCTGAATATAATTATAGCTGGAAAAACAGCTGTTTCCTGTCTGAATGATAAAAACACACACAGCCAATCAGAATGCAACTGACAAAATCCAGACAGTTGTGGCCAGCTTTGTGTACAAAAGATTACAGACGCTCCATCAGGCCAGAGCTGCGTGTGAGTTGAGACTAGCTTCCCTTTGGGTTCTGTTGTAAGTGTATTTTGTGCGAATGTAAAAGAACAGTAAACCCAAAGTACAGAGCAACACATCAAAATTATTGCCTGTGGTAAAGACAGGTGTAGATATTCATAAACAAGGTGTACCGTGACATTCAACAGACACAATTTTATTATCATTATTACAAAGGGGTAGCAGAGTTTTTAGTTACGCAAATTAACTCTCTTACCATAAGCTCACACTATGCTGTCACAGCATGATGCCATGGTTTAACTAATGTATGTATAGCTGATTTAGTGTGTTACTGCTCAGAGCATCTTTACAGCTGAAAGTAAGGATGGCATTGCTCTCTGTTCACACTCAATGTGCTAGTTTTTTCTTTTTTTTTTAAAAGAATAATGTCATAACATTATAAACTGTGACAAAAAGTTAAGGGTTATTATTGTGATATTGAATGTTTTTAGGCTTGTTTTTAGGTGCTTACTGTGGTAACTGAGTGTATGTTACAGATACTGATCAGGGAGAATTCCTTTAGCATCCATATAATCTCACTTCTTCATTAAATACTTTGAAAAGGTGTATTAAACACTATATTGGACACTATGGATATTTCAGGCTGTTTGTGTACAATAAAACTGGAATGATAGTTAATCATAATATAATAAAACACACAAAATTTGCAGTAAGGAGGACATACTGCTAGTGAACAGAATGCAGTACAGTTACTATAGAGGAAACACTGCTTACTGAGCAGTACAAGCTGTGTCCTGTGTGTGTGTGCGCAAGTGTGTGAGTGTGTGAGTTACCTGCCAGAATGGCTTTGTGTGCCTGGAACTCTTGTCCAGCTACGCAGAGCGAGCAGTCGGTGAAGCGAGAGTGTTCCCACAGTCCGCCCAGCTCATCAGCCAGCCTGCAGTCTGGAACCTTCACCATGTTCATAGTGTTCTGCCCAGAGATGTTCACCGAGTCCTGCACCACACTCACCTGCACACACAAACAAAATCAATACCAATTAGTTACAGTACCAATAACGTACTATTACTGTGAGTTAACTAATATTCAGGATGTACTTATATACAATTTCTGGGTCAATACTAATTACACCACTATGGAATTCATAGGCTGATACTGATTAAAGTTTAAAGTATATTCTCCATATGAGGAGGTATACTTTCTGATATGCACATAACTGGAATTATGACCTTTTAAGCACCATCAGAGCTTAGCTATGTGTGTGTTGGTGCCTGCATGAAAAAAAAGGCATTCCAAGTTGTCAGCTGGCACAGATCTGATACCAGGTGTTTGTATTGGGCCAATACCAGCAGAAAATGCTGGATCGAATATCAAACCGAAGAAGGATTAATCTGATCCTATCCTTTAATAAATTTAGCCTGAATTAGCACACACTCACATTGCGTGATGTTGTTAGCTGTGTATTTCTTGTTGTGAGGTAGTAGAGTTAGAGTAGTTAAAGCATGATAGCCTACTTTTAGATAATCATACTCTTATCAAGTGAAGTACATCAATTAGAAATAGCTCATTTTAAAGCTTTATAGTCTGAAATTTCAGACTGGTATCGGTATCAGTCGACAATCAAGGCTTCAATATCAGTATTGGAAGAGAAAAAGTAGTACTGAGCCATCTCTAATTGTAACAGTCAAGCGCAATTTGAATGCTGGAGCAATAACATTAATAAAAACATATTCCAATTTATCGGTACACATGTATCGTCCTCTAAAATCTCATGCACCTTTAAATATTCCAGTTTTAGATTCTCTATTTTAGCCCTCAAATCAGAGAACATGAAGGCATGACCTCTGGAAAACACTTCACATGAGCATCCCTGTTAGCTGAAGACTGGCTCCAAGCTCCAGCAGTGAAGAAAAGGCAGATGTTAATTCATGTATTTAGAAGAGCGCATTTCAGTCAAAACGACAAGCATGTTCTGAAGTGACTTGAGACCGTTAACTACAGGTGCTCAGGAGGGACACTAGCGTGTCGAACAAGGGCAGACATCTACTTATCTCTTCATTTACACAAATTGCTTCCATTTGTTTGCGGTGTGTGTGTGTAAGCACGCATAGAGGGCCACCATGCTGACTTTGCCACCTGTTCCTGCAGACAGTAAGCACATTCATTTATCTCTCTGCAGGACACACATGCACACACGGAAGTGCATGGACACGCAAAAAAATAAACCTCAAGTGCATATATACAAGCTCAAAATACAAACAGCTCGCACACAAACACCACACAAATTGATACACCAAGCAGTATACAAGTAAAATGAAAGCAGTAGCTCACGCATCCCATTGCTTTCATATGCACATATTTATATATGGCCTTTTGACTTGTTCACACTGGCTCTTTTCTCCAATCTCATCTCTTACTCTAAAAATTAGAGTAAATAATTTTATTTTATTCTTATTTTCCTGTAGTTAATATCTTTTCCAAAGAAATCCTTTTGTTAGATCACTTCATGATAGAGCAGCCTAGAATACAACATCCTATAATATGTGCAGAAGGGTTCACACACACAAACAAACACACACTAGGGCCGGCAGATACAAAACTTGCCTTGCACTTGAACCAAAAACTTTTTAAAGAGCAAAAATTTTATATTATCAGCTGATGTAATTTTATATGGCTAAACATTGAACAGACAATACTGTTAACCAAAACAAGCTAGTTTTACTCAACCAGTACTTTACTGAGCATCTTTAATAATTTGAATATTATAGCATTGGGGGGTGGAGCTTCTCATTACTCTAAGTGGTTCTGCTGGTTACATATTTGTTCTTATTACTAATCAGTTCTCTTCACATAAGGGATTCTCTGTTATAAAGCTATCTTTGCGTGAAAGGTTTAAACTTCATCCAACTTTTCTCCCCAGTTTCTGTCAATTCCACCAAATAATTAGGCCTCCCCCCATCACATCATGTTACAAAGTTGGAAGTCATGTGAAGCCAGCCAGCATCTTGCAAAACGTGCACTTGCGTAACGTAATTGGACAGCTTAATAATCTCAGAGGAGAATACTTAAGGCTCATTTACGCTCAGCGTTAAAAATGGATACGGACGGCGCCTCCAGTCCATACTCTGCATTCATTTTGTCCTTATCTGTGCATTGTGCTGAGAGAGAGGGCCATCCAACCCACCCAGACAAAGCCAGGCCAATGACGCTTTCTATGACTCCCAGCCAAGGACCAAAATCCTCTCCTGAAGATAGGGCTACAGAACTAAAGTTCAGTCTGTATTCCTGTTGTGACTAATCACTGACAATGGAGCATTAACTGCAAAACAGTGCTGTAAGTATATGAGGCCATTCAAATTAGGGATGTGCAGAGGTACACAAGTATTCGGTTCACCGTTTGAGGTGCCAAGATTAGAAACTGAAATCAATATGCAGGGACTCAGTCCGTTTCAGTTAAATGTTTTCGCGAGTCAGTATGTATATTACACTTAGCTACTCAAACATGAGTGCTTTAACTGGGCACATTGCTGAGGATTATTAAGGACATCATTAAGAAGGTAGATGTAGTGCAGCTTTAATGCTAACTATGCTAACTAGCCTAGCTAATGTTAGCCAGGTCCAGAAACAGTGGAAATACATTTCTCTGACAAAATAACATTGGAGGAAATCGCTCCTTTAAGACGATGAGTCCTCATCAGACGAAGGCACCTCCCTAATTAAAACTCTATGAACCATTTCTAGTTTGGGTGAGTTCATTAAATATATAATAGGTACCAACGCTTTATTGGATCTTTGCAGATACCAATACATATGTAGAACCCTGATATTGGTCGATTTTAGCAGTACACACAGATCTTATACAGGTCTGTCAGGGAAAATGAGACACACAAGACCAGCAACGTGCAGCACACACAACTCATACTCGAAAAACAAATGCACACACAGAGCGTAATGCACCAACACATGGGCACAAAGGAGAGTGCAGCAGAGAGAGGTACACAAGCAGAGGGGAAAAGTGCACTGCAAACAGGAAATTAAATGTCAAGGACCCTTGTATGTCCTTAATGGAGGACTAAATGTTCACCTCAGGGAAGAGAGAGAGACAGAGAGAGGGCGCGAGAGTAGTAGTTGTTAAAAGGAGTAAAAAGGATCAGATGCATAAAATGAGAAGACTGATGACAAGGAAAGAGCATGTACTGTATTCCTTTATTTCAACCCAAGCAATTCCTTCTAATCTGTGGCTTCTGAATACCAAACAAATTACAGGTGTCCCTGTGTAATGAAACACTGTCTTCAATTCAAATATATTACATTGTTCGTTTTTAAAAGGTGTTATAATAAATACATAACACTTGTCCAACACTTGTATAATAAATACATAACAGAATGAATGTTAAGCCACATTCTTCATTGGTTGTATTCAAAAACAGAAGTCTGTTTATCACCATGGGGCTGTAGAATGTAAGAGAGGAGGAAATGTGTGCGTTTTCCTTGGGCTGCACCCACTGTGAGCATTTAACATTGACCAAAGTCATATTTACTGAAAGAGACTTAAATAATCTCCAACCACTCACTACTGTTCAGTTCCTCCATGTGTAATCTTGATTCTGAGGAGCTTTATAACAGGGTAAAGGTTAACAAGAAAACTTACAGTCCTTTAACATAATGTGTTGTATGCAGTACTGTGCAATTGTCATCTGAGGAAATGACATATAAAGCCATTTATCTGGGCACTGAGCATTCATTCATTTTGAAAACCCATTAAAATCTGAATAAATACAAATAAATAATATGACAACTGTGTGAGAGTGTCTTCGCTTAACCATTTCTATGCCTCTCTTCGAGGACGCTCAGTATTTACAGTTGAACTGGATAATCCAACACAGTTTATCTAATCACGTCCACATGCTGCTCTGCAAATGGATAAGAGATCGCCGCCGTATAATCACTCCTTAGTTCATTATTGATGCTTTTCAACTTCAGTAGCCTACTAGTGCTGAGGAATTTAGCTTAAGTAAAACTCCTGTCAGTTTATTTCAGCATCATCTTCTTATCATGTACTGCCGATGCTTTCAGAATGCTTTTCTCTCCTCATCACAACTGCATGTTTCCTCAGGAACATCCTGAAGGGAAATAATGTAACTTAAGTATTTAATTGCAGCCAAGAGCTATGCAAGGCTATTAAAATAGTCATAGCAAATTAACTTGTATAACATCTGTAAGACAGTTATTCACATGCTCAAGTCTTGTCTACATAACCTTTACCTGATCATTTACGAGTGGTATGTTTATATTAATTTCAAGGTCAATAAAGACATTATCTGCTGCAACAAAACAAGGAATGTGGACTGATACATGCTCAAGTTTGCAGCGCTCTGGTTTAAAACAGTGCAGGAAGAGAACATTTTTATAAAATTCAAGCATGTGGTAAAGTCTGGAGTAGCCTTTAATGTTGTGATAATACAGTACAAATTCCGTGCAATGTTTACATGAATGTATGACTGAAACTTTACTTTTTTTCTGGCAAACAATTATTTGCAGACACTGTGACCAGCTTCAAAAATCCAAAATTTCATTATTTATACAGAGTCAAAAAGTCTGAGACCACATTAAAAATCAGATTTTTTCCATTTAAATCTGGAAAGTTTTAGAATCTTGAAAATTTTAAAACAAAGAAAAAGTTATGACAGTTAAAATGAAGAAATATTCAAAATTCTGCAGTATTTATAGATCACTATTCAAATTGAAGCTAATTTGTGCAACTGACCATGTTGAGACCTTTTGCACAAAAAGGTCTGTTTTGCTTAAGTCTTATTCCTTCCTTTGAAACACGTGTTCAGACGACTCTCAGGTAGATCTGATCTATCCATCAGAAGCTTCTGGACTCATGGAAGTCATGCCAGCTTGAGTGTACGCCGTCATTAAAGCAAAAGGGGGAGATACCAAATACTAAAAAGTTTTAAAATTAATATAAACATTCAAATATTCGACTCTGACCTCAAATTGTTATG